AGACCAGGGACACGGGGAGCAAAGCCGCAGCGGAGGCGCGGGACCCCTCGCCTCCCCAGCTTTGCTCCGGGTGTCCCTGATCTGCTGGAGACAGTCCCCAGCAGACCAGGGGCACCCGGAGCAGCTTTTCTCGCTCCGGAGGTCGAGGTGGCGGGACCGCTGCGCTCTGGGCGGTCCCGCTGCCTGCGAGCTCCGGGGTGAGAAAGCCCCGTTGTAACTCGGGGACTGCCTGTACATTGTTCTCCATGAGATTTATACAGCAAGATAAACAGGACATGGACACTACCTTTTGTTCTGAATGGACAGTATTATTCTGACAGACATGGGGTCTGATTCACCTCTGACTTACACCTTTATAGCTGCACTGAAGCCAGGTCTACAATAAAAAGCAACAGTTGAATCCAGGTACGCAACTCCAGCTATGTAAATTACATAGCTGGAATTGACGTATCTTGTTTCAAGTTTCCCCGTTGTCTCCACAGCGGGAGTCCGATGGGAGCAAATACTTAGGCCAACAGGAGCCTAGGCTTATTGGTTAATCTTGTCGACTGCATGCATTCCCCTCCATCCCCAAATTATTAGAGGCAGCAAGGGAAAGGGGGGAGGGCAGAAGCCAGTGCTGGGGGGAGCCAGCTTTTAAGCTTTAAACTTTTAAGTTTAAAAGCTGGCCCCCCCTAGCACCAGTTCTGCAGTGCTGCCTGCTCCTCTTTCCCCCATGCTACTGCCTCTATTAGAGGCAGCAGCAGTGGGAAGGGAGCTGGGGAGGCTGTTGTGAAGCAGCCTCTGTCTGCAGCGAGCCCAGGCTCACCGTGGACAGAGGCTGCTCTGTGGGAGGCAGAGCAGCCTCTGTCCGTGGGGAGGTCAGGAGGGCTCAGAACAGCAGGCAGCCAGTCTGCATGGGGAGCTGGTTTTTATACTGGCTCCCCTCGTGGACTGGCTCCTGCCTGGCACACCACACAGGAGCCAGGCAGGATGGGATGGCAGGGGGCTCCCCGGGATTGGGGCTGGAGCACAGTGACTGCCAGCCCCACCCTGAGGGACTATAGAATAGTCGAGTAACCGGTAAGAATTCATGCAGTTACTCAACTATTCAATTACCTACTTGAAAACTATATTAATAGGGTTGAACAAAATGCACTTTCAGGACTGTTAGTTCACAACAGCAGAGCACACTGAACACTTAGCATGCAGCAGGTCAGCATGTGGTAATTTTACAGCCCAGCTTGCAACAAACTAAGGCCTAGTCCAGGGGTGAGGAATCTTTTTTGGGTTGGAGGCCATCCACCCACTGAAAAATCAGTCTGGAGCTGTACACAAGAGAGAAGCAAAACAACAAAACAAAAAATAAAGCCCTCATGGACATGGCCCCCGACTGATAAGGAAAAAGACACTCCCCACATTCCCCTCACACACCAGAGTCTAGAGGGACCCAACCTCATAGATTTTGTGTGCTCCAGCCCTGCAGTGAGTTTGCAGGAGACGGGGGGCTGGAACACTAGTGTGGGCTACTCAATGCTTGGGCGAGCCATGAGTCTTGGGGACCCGATCTTGGTAAGCCAGGGGCCGCATCCAGCCCCTGGGCCTGAGGTTCCCCACCCTTGGCCTGCTCTGTTGATAAGCCCTATGTAAGTGGTGAATCAGGCTCAGTGCCTGAAATCAGTTAGTAAATCCAGTAACATTACATGTTGTTCAGGAAGGAAGGAAGGATGAACAAATACATAAACAGAGTACAAATAACAGCAGGGAGGGGTAAGACTGGCTTGTTACTTCCCCAAAAGCCACTGCTTCTCAAGTAATAAAGGCTATGTCTACACTGGCTCTTTACTGTACTCTAGCATTCTGGCTCAGGGATGTGAAAAAATGCTACACGCACCCCGAGGACAGCAAGTTACAGTGCTGTAAAGCACGAATGTGAACCAACTACCATGCTGCCATGGCCACATTCAGTCAAAAATGCTGCCATGGTTGTACTTTAAACTCTTAAGTGTAGCAAAGCTGGTTTCTCAAGTGACTGGCTGACATGAATGATTGATGGGATAGCAGTTACAGTATTTTTGTGAAATCAGACAACAGTCTACAATGATGGTGAAAACAGCATTTGTCACTTTGAAATGCTGGCCACTTTAGCTCCATGCCTAGACAATTAATTCTGGGCTTATAGAGAATGAAGTGTCCTCCCCTTTAAAAAGAGGCTGTCTGATAAGGTATCCTCTCAAAGTACTATCTAATATTTTCATCTTTAGTGCACTATTTTCAGGTAGTTCTCTGAAATACCTTTCAAAACAGATCTATTTACGTACACTGAAAAATCCAAATTATTCATCTCATACATAGCATTGGCACTTTTCCTTTGTTGTCCCTTAGCTCTTCTCTGAAGCATTCTTTTCTCTTATGGAGCCACAACTGGCGAACCATGAAAAAATGCTTTATTTGGAAAACCGTTGCTCTTAGCAGCAGGGAAGGTGAGAAGAGAAGGGGAAGAATATATTTTTCTCATACATTTAGTATTTCTCATTCTTTTCAACATTGTGCCTGCAGAATACACTGTAAAGAGAGAATGTGCACTAGTGCTTAGACCCCAGCCTGAAGACACCTTAGAAAATGCACAGATCAAACTGATTAACAGATAGAAGATAGATCAGAGAAGTGGCAATCAGGGATCCTAAATTCTAGTCTTAACTTTGCCATTAATTTCCTATTTGATCTCGAGTACCTCATATTCCTCAGCTATAAACATAGGTATAATAATAATGCCCCTATCTCACAGGGTGACTGTAAATATCTGTAATTTACAGATGTAAAGTGACCTGAGATCTTCAGATGAGTGCTCTATAAGTATAGATTATGTGTGTATTATTTACGTATTTATTTTATTTATTAATATCTCCTGGTAATACCACCTTACAAAAAGTATCCCAGGATACATGCTAAGTCTGACATAAAATCTGTTTTAATGTCTGTGTGAAAAGAAACACAGGATCAAAATCCACTTAATTGGGTCTGTTCTGATTCTTGTTACTGGTAAGTGGGTTCTCAGGGCCTGAGGGGACAAGAACTAGGATGATGAGTACAATATACTGACTTGTATTGCATTCTGTACATACAATTGGTAACAAATTACCTTCACCAGGATTTTGCCTTTCAAACTTTGAGGGCTTGGAAGCTGCTTGGAATCTCCAGTGATTATAGACGACAAGTCCAGTTTGTCACTGAATATTTCCTTCAGGTACTGAGCAATCTTCTTTTGCTGCTGGATACTGCAATGATTCTCAATAGACAATATCACTGGAAACCTAAAACAAAAGCATAAGTCCCAGGTGATATCACAGCAGCTCTTCAAGATATATGATCAGGCAACATTAATGCAACTTAGAATGTTTTATATTCATCTTGCTCTTGCAGTCTCTTTAGCAGCAAATTTGTCTTTAAAATGGAATGTTTTGTCATATTACAACAATCATATCTCCTTGAAGAAAGCATGACAACCGTTATGAGGTATACAAACCACACACAGGGCCCAAAGGGGTTACAACAGGGGTGGACAGCCATCAGCCATTTTCAACAGCGAATGACTTCACCCACTTCCCCACCCCCGAGTGGCCTGGGGCTGGGGGAGCACATGAAGTCTCCTCCCCCTGCCGGCACGTAGATGGAACCATCAGTTGTTCAAAACTTTGAGCACCCTATAACACTAATGCAGTGGTTTTCAACCTTTTGTTTCGCAAACTCCTAGAGGGGGGAAGTCCACGTATTATGTCTAAGATTTCCAAAGGGTTTTGCACCACCATTTGAAACTTTTGGGAGTCTGCAAATGAAAAAAGGTGGAAAAATAATGTATACACTAGGAGGGATACATAGTTTGTTTAAGCCCTATATCACCTGGACAAATTCTGCACCTGGTTACACTGATGCAAATCCAGAGTAACTCCACTGATGGTACAGTTGCTCTGGATTTACACTGGTGTAACTGCAGGTAGAATTTTGCCTAGTGTTTTTAGCTCATTAATAAAGACACCAAGAGCTAAATGCTGCCAACGTACACGCCCTTTACACCATCACTGAAATAATTTAGGGTCTCAAGATCTTATAAGGCAGGCCCTAACTTCTAGAACACAGCTCAGTGTAGCTTCAGAGAAGATCCATTTTTTTTGTTTGTAGGTCAAGCTCCTCTAACAAGTAAGGCCTCCATAACACTCTTGGTAAGGCCACGTATAGGGCTACGTCTACACTGCAGGCTTCTTGCGCAAGAAGCTTTTGGCGGAAGAGATCTTCCGCAAAAACTTCTTGTGCAAAAGCACATCCACACTGCAAAAGCACATAGGAAAAGTGATGTGCTTTTGCGCAAGAGAATGTCCAGACTGCATGGACGCTCTCTTGCAAGAAATCTCTGGGCACCTGTGCATCTTTCAATAGGCAGTTTTTGCACAAAAAAATCCTGCTGCCCATCCACACACACCTTTTTGCACAAGAGCTCTTGCGCAAAAAGGAGTTATTCCTCATAGAAAGGAATGCCTATACCGCAAAAACCCCTTTGTTCTGTCGATTCACTGTATGTTTTCTTGCGCAAAAACACTCGAGGTGTGGATGCTCTGAAAAATTTTTGCGCGAAAACTCTGCAGTTTAGACATAGCCTAGATGAAAATATCCCTCTCCCACTGCTTTTCAATGTGCATCAGTTGTCTGATTGGCTATAATAACCTTCTACCCTGCAGACAGATACATGGAAGTAATTCTCTATGCATATGGATAATTACCTTCCCTTCCTGAGTAAAACAGGCATGAAGGGAAAAACCACATGGAAAATGCCACCAGCTTTTCAACTCCATTTGCTGTAACAGTAAAGATCACTGTGATGGAAGCATAGACATGGGAAGGCCTATAAAACCCACGGTGGCCAAGTGCAGACTTCAGGCCTAGTAGTCTACTGTCTCCTCTCAGGCTATGTCTGGACTACAAGTCTTTTTCGAAAGAGGCTTTTTAGAAAGATACTTTCAAAAAAGAGCATCTAGACTACAACCAGTACTTTTGAAAAAGCAAGCCGCTTTTTTGAAAGAGAGCACCCAGGCTGTCTGGATGCTCTCTTTCGAAAAACCAGAGTTTGCATTACATAGCGCCTTTTTTTGAAAGAGCACTTTCAAAAAAAGGCATTATTCCTCGTAAAATGAGGTTTTCCATGGTCGAAAAAACTGCTGCGTACTTTCGATTTACTTTCGAAAGAAGGAGGCAGCAGTCTAGACACAGGGAAAGGTTTTTTTTGAAAAAAGACCTCTTTTTTCGAAAAAAAACCTGTAGTCTAGACACACCCTCAGACAAGCCACACGCCACTACACAAGCTCTCTGTTCTGGGTGGAGGAGGTTATGTGATCTACAGAGCAAGTTCTCTCTTAGGGCTATGAAATTTAGAAAGCAAAGGAATCAGTTGCACTGAACAGGTTAACTCCCCCTTTGCAGTTTTTGGAGACCTTAGGGAATGAAAAGCTATGGATGAGGAGGCATATGAATTCAGATTGTCTTAATTAGGGCACTAATCACTGGACCTTCCTTCCTGGCCATTCTACATCCTCTCACCCAACCTATCTCTCTAGAGGAAAATAATCACATTTTCTGTGTGTTTTAGGAAGAAAATTACATTGAGATACAGAAATTCCATGCCAGATTTACTACACAAAAGAAGTATTCTCCTCCATGCTGAGAACTTGCATTTCACTTACTCATTTTTGACAAAGGCATTTTTATTTATAGCTTCTACCACATCTCTGAAGAGTATTTTGGAAGTTAGGGTATAACCATGGTGCACCACTGGCTCGCCATCTGGACCATCCCAGCAGTCAACTGTCAAGACAAAAAAACAACACATGACAAAATATCTCATGTTTTAAAATTTTCCTCTGAAGGAGGGAGAGAATGTTTTATGCGTTCATGTAAATAAGCCATATGAAACCTGAATAATAAACTGACACTTGCATATCGTATTTTGTACAAAGTATACAAAACGTAATGGCAAACAACTGAAGACTATTATACAAACACTGTAAGTTAATATTCCTTTCTATCCACTATCCAGTCACGGGGGTAGAACAGGTATATTAGGTCTGTGCAAATAGTTTCAAAACTGTAACTTACCTGATCTGTTCATGGGTTCTGTTAAAAATTGAAAATAATCTCAATTATAATACACTTTTTACAGGGCAGGGAGGTTGTGGTTTTTTAAAAAAAATTCTGAGTATTAACTTTATTATAATGCAGAAAGATAAGCTTATTGGCATTAAAGTTCCTCTGCCTTTTGAAAAATATAGAGACTCAGTGTATGAGGTAATATCTTTCACTGGAAAAGAAGTTGGTTAAATAAAATAGATTTATCTCACTCACTTTATCTCTCTAATATCCTGGGTATAGAACAATTTTCAAAATTATTACATTAAATGTTATTCCTCATAAAGTACTCTCAATGATGAGAAGGGTTTCTGCTTTATGTGCTGACACATTAACAAATAATTTGTGTCAAAGGTTCTATGAAAAAATTAAGAGACTGAGCCAAAACTCAGGTTAGCAAAACCCTGATCTTCAGAATAGAGGAGAAAAGACTATACAAGTTGGTCTGAATGGTATATATGACCACCTGGCCAAATTCTGCCCTCCATTTAGTGCTCCTCTGCAGGTGTGATAGGTGTACAGGAAAGAAGGAACCTATGTTTCCACTGCAATCCATGCAGATGGAGGCATATTACGCCTACACCTCCCAAAAAAGAAAAATGAATTTCTGCCTAGATTAAGTAAATACCAAGAGAAGGGAAATAACCAATTTAAATCCTTATTCAGTCCTAATTTGATTGGATTGGATATGCAAATGAATTGCAGTTATGCTGTTTCCTTTTGTAATATGGTGGGGGGGGGGGGGGGGGGGGGGGAAGGGGTAGGAAGAAGTGAGGAGGAGAAGAGGGGCAATTGCCTCAGGGCCTGGCAATTCAAAGGGGCCCAAAGCTCCAGCTCCCACAGTAGCAGCAAAGCCCTGAACCCTTTAAATCGCTGCTAGAGCACTGCACCGGAGTGGCAGGCTACATGCTTTGGGCAGTGCTAAGGGCTGGGAGGGGGGACGCACACTGCATTCCAGGCAGTGCTAAGGGCTGGTTGCCTTCAGCCCTGTCCCTTCCACCCTCAGCCCCACCCTTTCTGGGAACCCTTCCACCTTGCCCAGGGGCCTGTAGAACCTTTCAACTCTGCTATGCATACTCTGCACTGGGCCAGAAGGGGTTAACCCAACACTATGGGCAGAAGAAGTCTTTCCCCTCTGACTGTATTGGGCATGTTATTAAAGTCAATGTTGAGGTGGGTCATTTAATATAGAACTCCAGAGGAAAAACCAGCATTGGCTATGCTGCGTCAGTATGAGACATTAATCTCAATGAAAAACATTACTTGTTACAATTGCTAACAAATGAGACTTACCAAAGAGGTGAAGAAGATAATGAAGTAAAATATGAGTGAATCACTTGGCACATTCAGTGCTACACTTAAAATGTAAGAGAAATGTCCATCAGACTTTACAGAATTTCACAACCAAACAAATAATATTAAAAGTACCTTCAATACAGCGACAGCCATCCTGTAACACCCGGGCATACATCTCCACTTTGGACTGAGACAATAGTTGGTCTCCTGTCAGGTATGTATTGTGAGATGAAGCAATATAGTAGTTACAAAGGGGCTGATCCATATCCTGATGGACTTCAGAATGCAATGGGTTAAATATATCACAAGCAGAACTGCGCATGAAGCTGGTGAAACCTTTGAACAAAAAGAAACAGTTTTCAAAGCACAGTACATATTACCACAATACGCAGGCTGATAAAACAGATACTCTTTATTCTAAAACCTGTCAGTGTTAACCTGCCACCCAAAAGCTACTGTGTCATGTGGGATGAATCCACCATCCTTAAGGTCTAACCTACCATTTATGGTTTTTCTATTTCTTTTGCAAGGTCCTTTGGGCAAGGGCATAGACCATATTCACTGCTAGCATCAACAAGAGTTATACGGGCTAGTCAATGGAAGTTCTGGCAATTTATGCCAGACAAATCCATAGTTTCCTCCTGGTGTCTACAATATCACACGCACTGTTCTCTCAATAAATGTTAAACAAACTACAAATCAAACAAAATAGAACAGTGCAGTAATTTGTGTATAAATCCATGCCTACTAAAACCAGAAGAGTCTGGACAATAATGGCATTAAGTTAAGAGATTCCCAAGAAATCTATTCATGACAAAAAGCAAGGGCAGAAATTTAGACAGAAATGGTAAAATATGAAAGTTTAAGTAAAGAATGGCAGCAATATGCTGAGAATAAGAAAAGCACAGATCTGAAATCCAATTAAGTTTGTTTTCCCATCGTATGTTTTCTTCAAGCCTGTGATGGGGCATCTGCCCAGCATTGCCCCTTTAAGGGAGAAGGCTGGAGCGGTGGAGCCAGCAGCTGAGGCAGAGATAGCCAATTAGGGCCAAGCTGGGGCTTTATAAATAAGGGCTCATGGAGGGGTGGAGACAGACTCACTGGTGCTCCAGCTATGGAGTAGGGGGGGGGGACCTAGCTGTCAGGGATGTTAGAGGCTGCCTGACTTGGAGCAGAGCTGGGGAAAGGCAGGCAGCGCTGGGGAAGCTCTGGCCAGGAAAGTTCCCAGGCTGTAGGGCCTGAAGCAAGGCGTGAGGGTACTAGGGCTGCTCAAGGCAGGACCAAGCTCCATCTACACCATCATACTATATAGACATAGTAGTGCTAGGGAAAGGCAGGCCAAACTGGAGAGCTTTGGCTTGACCTCACTCCCAGGCTGCAGGACCTTTAGGCAAGACCTGAGGGTACTAAGAGACACGGCCAGGTGACGAGAAGGCAGCAGGTCCACACCCCTTCCCTATCATGAGTGGCCATTTCAGATCGCAGTTTGCCTGTGGCAGAGGCTGGATGAAGACTGGCAGTAGGATCATAGGGAGTTGGCGGTTCCATGAGGGGGAGGACCCTGGAACGTGGGGATACTGCAGCAGGGAAGTATGCAGAGGAGAGGAGTCCACAGTATGGCAAGACACTGGCCAGAAGGGGGTACTCAAGCATTGAAGGGCCAATTCCTGAGTGACCAGCAGAAGGTGCCGTGGCCACGCTATGTTACAAAGCCCCTAAGGTGTATATGACTGAAATCTGTGTTAAACATTCTTTGAAACCCTGGAGAGTTTCTCTGGGCCAAATCTGATGCCCAAACTTAGCCAAGGAGGCTCACACTGTCTGTCTCCATTTAAACAAAGTCATTCCAGTAACAGACAGAACAAAACAACTCTTTGTTGCTTCCATTAGAATTTACAAAACTTTGTTTCTCCACATAACTTGATAAGATTAAAAATTATTTATCATAATCTAGATGCCATTGCAAACCATCAGATACTTTGTACTTCAACTATGACTCATTGTTATTAAAAATGGTGCCCCCCCTACTCTCTGGTCACTGCACAGAAGCAAGCTGCTGTCTCTTGACTCCTTGGGATGCGTTGTGCAGTGGTCATCCTCTGCCTTTGCAGCCACATCCCTCCTTCCAAGGACCCTGCGGAGTGTTCCCACTGGTGGGGAATTCATTTGGAAGAATAGGGCAATGACTGGATAGGTGTAAGAGAGAGAATGGGAGCCTCCTGGGGACATGAGGGGGGTGCACATTGCCTTTCTATTGGCTCAGTGACATTTACAGACACAGAGTGATACATGTGTCCTGGGAGTCATAGGATGGTTGGTCCATGAAAATGAAGCCGACCCAGTGGCCCTGAGCCCAAACAGTTGTTCCCACCTAAGCTGTGTCTAGACTGGCATGATTTTGCTCAAAAGTGGCCGCTTTTGTTCAAAATCTTGCCACCTGTCTACACTGGCTGCGAGTATTTGCGCAAGAACACTGACTTTCTAATGTACAAAATCAGTGGTTCTTGCACAAATACTCTGATGCTCCCGCTCAGGGATAAGCCCTATTGCGCAAGTATTCTTGCGCAAGAGGGCCAGTGTAGACAGCAACACTAATTTCTTGCGCAAGAAAGCCCAATGGCTAAAATGGCCATTGGAGCTTTCTTGCACAAGAGAGCGTCTACTTTTGTGCAAAAGCAAATCTTTTGCGCAAAGGCACATGCCAGTATAGACGCTCTCTTGCGCAAATATTTTTAATGGAAAAACTTTTCCGTTAAAAGTATTTGCGCAAAATCATGCCAGTCTAGACGTAGCCCTAGGGTAATTAAAAGCCATGGCAACATCTGGCTATATAAATGGGAGAGAGCTGGTGAGTCAGGGCTGCTTGGGTGCATAGAGCGGAGGAGCAAAGGACGGGCAGGTGGGGGCTACCTGGGAGACAGAGTCTGCAGGGAATGGACACTTGGCAGACCCTCACTGGACAGACAAGCTAGTCCACTGGCTATCCTGAGCTAGAGAGGCTGAAAAGGCTGAGAGCTAAGAGTCAACAGATAAACTAGTTTGCTGATTTTCCTGAACAAGACTGTCAGTGCTAGGAGGCTGGAAAGGGTGGAGCCAGTGGCAGGGCTCCCTGCTAGCCTTTGTTGAGCCTCAGAGCCATGGCTGGCAAGGGCTGAAGACTGAGAACAGAAAGAGATGCCTGCTGGGTCCCTGAGGCAAAAAGCTGAATTTTGAGGGTGCAAGGCCTGGGAACAGAGTGGACTGAAAGCCATTAACATTGCACTGGAAAGCTGGGTCATAGTGAAAGACGCTGGAGTTGTGCTTGGCATGTGATATATATCATCTGGACTATGCAGGGGAATACTGGACTCTGGTTATGGAATCTGTATTATAATTTACCGGCACAAGACTTTCTCCTACAATAAATTAAACTCCTACAGATGCTTCTATTCAGAAAGACTGTTTGGGCTAGTTTTGGTGACTTTGCGGGGGAAAATGAGGCAGGTGTGCCTGTTGTGCTGTAGCCTGCCACAGGTGGGCTGCCAGGCAGACATGCAACCCTATATCATCAGGATAATATTCTCCCTTCTGTGGAGCCTTCTTTACCAATGGGATCCCTCTTTAGGCCTTGAGACAGCAGGAGCCAGAGTACAGTAAAACTCCAGTGGTCCAGCATCCAATGGTCCGGCACTCCTGATGGTCCGGCACCATCTGGAACCTGGAAGTGCTCACAGGTGGGCTGCCAGGCAGACATGCAACCCTATATCATCAGGATAATATTCTCCCTTCTGTGGAGCCTTCTTTACCAATGGGATCCCTCTTTAGGCCTTGAGACAGCAGGAGCCAGAGTACAGTAAAACTCCAGTGGTCCAGCATCCAATGGTCCGGCACTCCTGATGGTCCGGCACCATCTGGAACCTGGAAGTGCTCCGGGCAGCTGGACAATTGGAGCTGCTCTGCCCCTGGCTTCCTTGATTCAGCCGCTGCTGAAACTGACCAGCGGCTGACTTGGGAAAGTCTGGGGCAGAGAAGCTAGGGTGCTGACAGGTTGGTCCCGTAGCGCCGCTCCTTCGTGCTGCGGGACCAACCCGGCAGCACCCCACAGCGGCTGACTTGGGGACGCCTGGGGCAGAGCAGCTGGGGTGCTGCCGGGTTGGTCCCATAGTGCCGAGGGGCGCATCCCCCCTCCCCACTCCACCCCAGACCCCTCATAGCCCCCCCTTCCTATAGTCCATCATATATGATAATCCGGCACCCCCTGGGTCCTAAAGATGCCGGATTATCAGAAATTTACTGTAAATGCCTGGTATCTGCTCGGAAAGAGGTATGGAGACACGGGGCCTGCAAGGGGATAGGCTTGGCTTCCTGGAGATCATGCAGAATTTTGTGCTGGTAACAATTTCCTTGGTGGAGCCCACCCTAACTGCAACACTGTGGAAATGTTCTAATAGGTAACACTAATAGAAAAACTACTTAAATCTAGCCCTGGCAAAATGAACACAATTCCCATTGAAATTAATGTCAGTGCAACCACTTAGGTCAGGGATGAACTTGGCTTCTAGGTCTCTTCCATATCCTGACAAGGAATCAAAGGGCTTAATTCCAATATCATGGTGCTGTGACTCCACTACACCAATGTACAGATTTACACCAGTGTAACTAAGCGCCAATTTGAGGCCAGAGCTCTAATGCTAACTTCAAAATATGGAATGTAAAATGTTTCAAAGGGACACAGCAAAATATTAAGATTCTGAATTTAGTTAAATCTGAGGGGAGTATTACTGAACCTAATAGGAATAAAAGTTATTGTGAATGTTTAAAATGCCAGATTATTGCTTTGTTTTTTTTTTTTAATTCTGGCCTAAGTGAATTGCCCACAGTAACAGAACTTGTGGCAAAACCATGAGGGTAAATCCAGGGCTGTGTCTACATTGGCACACCATTCCGGAAAAGGGATGCTAATGTAGACTTTGGAATAGCAAAATCCGCGGGGGATTTAAATATCCCCCCGCGGTATTTGCATTAACATGGCTGCCGCTTTTTTCCGGCTTGGGGATAAGCCGGAGAAAAGCGCCA